CGTTAAACAATACATAAAGAAAAGACTTAAAAAATCTACAGATCAGATCTTTCAAAATCATTATTTTACGATGACATGTCCTACTGGGTTAGTTTTAAAAAAGAAAAAAATGACGGACTAGGACCCTTCTTCCAACTAAAACGAGTAAAAGAGCTGAAAAAGAAACAAAAATTCCTATTAGGAATATGGTTACAATTCATTGAAAATTAAGAGCATGCATCATGACTATAAATTAATACGGAGTGTAGGATAAACACACTTAACTCCATATGAGCCGCTTCACCACTTTCCAACATTTACTCATCCATACCCTGCTACCAGTTCACGAACTTCACAAAGTTCTTAGTCGTTTTTTGTCTCCTCTTGATAATGTGTTCTCTACGTGGATATAAAAGCATCGTGCAATCTGCAAGCCTTCTATTCCTATTATTTCCTCATTTTTACACCTCTCCTACCCATTTATGTCTTTTCCCATTTTCTTCTTGTCTTTTCTCCTTTCCCCTTTTTTTTCTTGTTATCCCTTCCACCTTTTATAACCTATCCTATTTGTAAGCGCTCCAGAGCGTCACAAATAAAACACATGCAGAATCAAAAAAAAAAAAGAAAATTGACATGATAATGATAGTTGGTCATTTTTACCTACTGTTTGTATTCTTAGCGATAAACTAAAAGATTGGACTATTGTTGATATTAATGAACGACAACTTAAATATTCGTGTCAAATAGTTAATCAAATAAAATATTGTCTAATGACATTTGTTTATTTATTTACATGAATTTACTCCTAAAGGAACGAAAAAAAATAACATTGTCAAACTTGTTCTCGAAGTAGACATAAACTATACAATATTATGCAAAAACTCTTTGTAATATCCATGAAGACAAGAGAAAAAAAAGGGATATTATTAAGCGGTCAGTAAAATAAATGAAATGGTCAGTAAAATATATGAAATGATCAGTAAGATAAATGGTCAGTAAAAAATGTATAAATGATCAGTTAAAAGATTAAATGGTCAGTACTTAGATTATCACTCATACAAAAAAAAAGATTGGAAAAAATCTGATTTTAATCGATTTTTTTGTGATTAAAAATCGATTAAATGGGACAGTTTTAACCAGGTTTTTAATCAAACTAGTGATTAAAATAAATTAAATTTATAAATATCCATTTTAACCGATTAAAATTTTTTCATTGACTATTTTACTCAATTTTAGTCAGATTATTCGATTTTTAATCTATTAAAATCGATTAAAATTTTTAAATCGATTTTAATCAATTCTAATAGTTTTTCTTTTTAAATGAATAAGTACCAATTGATATCGAGTCTTGAAGCATGGAATTTATGTCAAAGGTCGATCTAGCATCATATCTACTAATTTTCCGAGGCAAGGAGTCCGAAAAAGCGATCGAACATCTGAGTTTTCAACATAAAGTTTGAGAAAACGCATTTTACCGTCGCCGCCATTAAAATTAATATTTATAAATTTAATTTATTTTAATCACTGGTTTGATTTAAAAAATCGATTAAAATTAGATTTTTTCCAATCTTTTTACTGATCATTTAATTTATTTTACTGACCGCTTAAATAGTAGCCGAAAAAAAATAATAGTTTTAGAAGGTTGAAAGTCTACTGTTCTTTATTTGAACTCTTAAAGATCATTTTGAAAATTGAATACTTTTTCGATATGCGTATCTCACTGTTCATATAACGAGTTCAGAATAGACACAAATATTGAAAATATTCGTGTTGTATTTTAATGTTTTTTTCCAGTGTATTATTCTATGTCTTACCTTGGATTTTTCAATACACGTATTTACTTTGTATTGGATTTTTCTCAATATGCTTACTCATATACCTATTGCTTCATACTTCCTTTTTTTCATTTATGTATTGGTTATGCTCCTTTATATATCATATCTAGTATCATACAAATACATTGAATCTATACACGTACTGAAACATGTCATAGAACTTAATGTTATAGTTTTCGAAATACTATGTAGAACAAAGTACAAAATTACATAAAGCTTATGAACATGATTTATTTTTAGTAAAAATCAGATTCTTTTTTTTTCTTTTTTTTTTAAATTAAAACTCAAAAGTAAAATACATTTTGCCACGCGAAATTACTGAGATAGATTTTAACTTTAAATTCTTATTAAAAAGACTTTATTTTGAAAAAATTAACAAAATATATACATTAATTGATACAATTTTTATATTGATTTTGTCGAGAAAATCGAAGAAATCATGAAAAATTAAGAAAACGAAGAAATTTTTGAAAAAAATCTAGATATTGATCAAGAATTATTTGCATATAAATAGTAGATCTTTCATATCAAGAAGAGTTATCTCTAATAGTTTCATCGAAATTAGAACTATAGAAAAATATTCAACGTCACTTTCTTCGACCACCTTTCAAGACAAAAAAGAAAGATGACTTTTTCTCAAAGAAAAGTGTTCGTTCATGATCACATATATTAATGGTTATACAGAACAATTAATCTGTATTATTTGTCACTAAACTTTACATTTATTGACTAAATAACTAGTGCAATACTCTTTTTTTTCAATTATATTTCGTCAATAGATTTAATGAATATTATAATGTTTTGGTCATTCGAAAAATAATTTCTTCGAACATTTTACATTAATGTTATATTTAATTGAAATATGCATTTAAAAATTTATTATAGATACAAGTATTGAACTATGAAGTATTAATCGAATGAATATATTTATACAAAATTCTTTGATTTTATATTTTTATATTTGTTTGTATAGAAGATTATCATTACATAACATTTTCTTGAGCATATAGTCTTCGATAAAAACCGTTGTATTGTATACATAATTAATTACCTTTTTACCTGTGTGAATAAATACACAAATATTTGTTATGATTTTCCAATCGCTTTTAATGACTATTAAGATTCAAATGATGATAATAATAATAATAATAATAAGACAAGGAAGTAAAACATACATATCATAATTAAGGAAGTGATTCATTATAAAGATTCCTTCTGGATCAAATCATGACTATGCTAATATGAATGAATTATTTGTTTATCAATCCCAAATTGATAATTGGTTAAAGAATTCTAATCATTTTATTTAATTCAGATTAACGATGAAGTTATAATAAAAGTGAATCAAAGAAAAAAACTACAAATATATTGATTAAAATCTGTTGTATAGCAATAATCAATTAAAGATTTAAATAAATTATTACAAAACAAATAATCAAATGTTTATCGTGACGTTTTTTTTTTGTTTCATTCTTGCACTAAAATACTTTAAAAATATTCTATTGTAATTTATCAGTGTAAACATATTCATTCTTTTTCCTTCAATAATTGCGAAATTTTTGTCATGATATTTAATAACCTTATTTCATTTGACGTCATATTTCGATATGGTGACTGCACATGATTGTTATTAATACTTGATATAAATACAGAGCGCTTTACCTATAGACATTTTTTATTTGAACAGCTTTTTTCAAGTAACTTTCTTTCGATAATCTGTGTAGATTATGACGTGGTGTTTTCGTCTTTTTATTTTGATCAGTTTTACGTTCATTTTGGTCAACAGCGGCAGAATTAAACGCCAAGGAGGAGGAGGCGGTGGTGGTGGAGGTGGAGGTGGAGGTGGTGGCGGTGGTATTGGTGGAAGGGGTGTTGGTGGTGGTGGTGCAAGTTCCGGAGGTATGAATACTTTATGAGTTGAGAAAAGATTTATTCATATCATAGAACTATATAAATACAAATATCAAAAATAGTATGTAGAGATTTCCACACTTACCATTACTCTACCGCATTGGGTATGGTGAACGTTAAAAAATTTCTCTCAATCAAGGTATAGGATACGAGAAAAACCTTACCCTAAACGTCTTTACTAGCATGAAGACATGAGAAAATTTCTCAAAAGGAAGGATAATTTATTTTGTCTTTCTACATCAAAAATATTTTAAGATAAGTGTTAGTAAGAATTTGAATGTAATCATTTAAATTAAAGTAACAAATGAAAATTTGCATTCGAATGATTGCCAGTTTCATATAATATATATATATATATTTTTAATTTAATTGATTTCAAAATTATTTAGATCTACAGAAGATGATGAAAAGATGTTCATATAAATTGCCTTTTTTTTCAATCTAGGTACAAGTGGATATGGAGGAAGCTTAAGTGGAGGAGCCATTGCAGGCATAGTTGTCGGCGTGGTCCTACTAACACTTTTTGTTGGATGTTGTTTGTTATTAAGTTGTTCAGACATAATTCCATGTCAGAAAGGTCGACCATTACGTTCAAGCCGTTCTTACGTTAATGGTCGAATTGCTTGGGAATATGATATAAGTAATTCTATCTTTATACCAGCTACATTTGCAAGTTACTATTATCAATATGGCATGAATCATGGACCATTTAATATGAAACTTGGATTCTATCCCGAAGCTGGTTATATTGTTCATGGAGGAGGAAATGATGATGTTGGTACTTATATTATAACAGGTATTTATTCACCAAGAACTCTTCGAATGAGTTTGAAAAAACACTATCAAACTGGAACAGGAAATCCACAAGAAAATTTAGGACATAAAGTAAAAATTCAAGTCGAATGGAATCATTATAATCAACAGTTTGAAGGTAAATATTATGTTCGAACAAGATTACATAAAGATGAAAATATATTTATAATTCGATATGAAGGTACTGCATATTAACATCTATATACAAGTGATTGTCAAATAAAATTGTTAAAAAAGTTTTTTTGTTCTGTTTTTTTTTTAATATTCTATACAAAACAACACATAAATAAAACAAAAAAAAACATTGTGTTTCCATAAATTCTTTATAGATAATCACTTAGAATCTTTTGTTATATTTATAGATTGATGATTATCTATATTAATGAAGACAAATTTTGATGAATAACATTAATTATTTCATTTGAATATTTCATGTTAATTTATAATTATAAAAATGATATATTAGTTTTTTTTTCTTTTCTTCGTTTGTTCAATTGTATTTAATTTAGTTTGTTGTTTTCTTATTTGAATATTTTTTTTTGAACCAAAAAAATGTATTTTATCAATAAAAAATGTTTTAATTATTTGTGGTTTTTTATATTTATTAATTAATTGATTTTTATTAAATAATTCTAATTCATTTTGATCATTAATATTTTGTTCATCTTCATTTTTAGATATATTTAATGAATCATCATTATCTAAGACGTTTTTTTGTTTTTTTGATAATGTTTGTTTAAATTTTTTTATTTGTATTGATGATGTAAGTTCAGAATGTCGATAATTTTCAGGTCTTGAATAAATACTATAATTATAATTTATTGATGCATCATTTGATATTTGTAATTCCATTTGTTGTGATGGTGAAAGTAATGGATTTTGTTTAATATGCCATGATTTACTACGACCACATGTAAATATTATTTTTAATGTTGAAATATATTTTCATGGAAATAATTTTCCTGATAATGAATATAATAATGAATTTGTTGATGAATTAAATAAATCAATATAAAGAAATAATGCTAATGATTGTTTTATTTGTGGACATGATGATATTGAAACAACATATAATGTATAACAATGATACATTGTTAAAAATATTGATATACCCCATGTAGAGAGAAGCGGGTCCAGGTTTTTATGGACCCGGACCCGGACCCAGACCCGGAAAAGCAAAATTCTCGGACCCGGACCCAGACCCGGACCCGGGTGGTATTAGTTTTATAGACCCGGACCCGGACCCGGCCGGGTCCAGACCCGTTAAGTGTTCCGCCAATATCTAGCACCCTCTGTATATATGAACAAGTGAAGGCTGATGGTTTAGCTGACTATTGGTATTGGCTACCCTCAGACGAAAAGTTTATGTACAGTTATTTCTTATTGAAGACTATGAACAAGAATAAAAACAAAATATTAATTTTGTTTATCATGAAATAAGTACTATATATTTAGGTGTGACCAAAACATGTTATTCACATTCATTCATTTTTTTCAACTTTATTTGTTATTTGTATGTCAAATGTCTTGTTAAGTACAAAATTAAAAGTAGTCAAGAAATTTGGAAACAGAATAGAGAAAATATTATACGTTGACCTGAGGGCTTTAATATTTAGATTTGTAGCTGCATACGAGCCGGGTCTGAAAGTAAATCATATGTGGACCCGGACCCAGACCCGGACCCGGGTGATATCATATTTCTAGACCCGGGCCCGGGTGACATTAGTTTTCTGGACCCGGACCCGGACCCGACCGGGTCTAGACCCGGGTCCGGGTCCGGGTCTGGACAGACCCGCTCCTCTCTAACCCCATGATATTGTTATAACAGAAAAACTTTCAATTAATATAACAAGAAATGCACGTAAATCATTTTTTAAACGATTTTTATGATGATTATTACTTGTTGTACGTTTTAAATATTTTAAATTAGTTGAAAAACTTGTAACGCATCGACCATTCGGCCTCACTTGACTCAATCCTGAAAGCAGCGAATAGAGAAAATAACATAATATTCTCAAAAACAAAATTGTGCCCTAGATCGGGTGATATTTTTGTCGGATTATTGTTACCGTAGTCGGCCACTCGAGGAAAACATCAAACATTTCAACCGGGACCTCCTGTAAAAACGCGCTTTATTTGAAGGTACCAAAGCAGCTCCTCGTCGGTCATCGGCGCCCCTTCTGGGCGTCACTCCCGACTCGTCGCTCTTATTGCATTCCTATGTGTTTCTATGAATGACATCTTATAAGGAACTACTAAGGTCCTCGCTTCAAACTTTGAGAACAACGGAATCTAAAAGTTTGACACCACTTTTCGATTTTCTTTAGGAGCTAGTCTAGAACAAAATAGACGCTTATATAAAAAGATCTTATAAAAAAATCAATTGACGCCAACTAGAATGCACTTCTTTCAATTCTTGATTTCAAATTATTCGAGAGTGACACTAATAATGAGATTGATATTGGTCACAATGAGTCTGGATGAAGTTTCGAGATAATTACATTAATGGCTAATTATAACGGGAGGCTCAAATCAAAAACTTTATCGCACAAAACGTAAGCAACAGCTATCAATAAAATGCGCTTCAGAGCCCAGACAGATTTGCCAACGTTTCGACCACTAGCGACTTACCTTCATTTCCAAACATATTACACTTTTAAGGGATTTCAAAATACTATGTTCATTCTCGCTACTAGAAAACCTGATCATACTATAAGGGTACCAGAGAGTAAACATCTGACTCACTTTGATTTCTGCAACTCTATTTCAAAATAAAGCTGCGATGACAGTTACGACTCATACACTGTTTTCTATTTCTCTTTTCGGTCGAAAATGTTTATTAGTTCCTGATTTACTGAACAAACGCAGGGATGACACCAATTCAATGCATTTTCTTTTGAATACTCTCAATGAGAGAATGAAATACTGCGTGGATCTTCCTACATAAACGTCTCTTACCCGAAGCAATGAAAGCAGCGGCTCGTCGATCGTCGGCGTCCCTCCGGGGTGCCACTCTCGACTCGCCGCTTCTGTGTATCCTCTTCCCATTTCCTTGTAAACCATTCACATAAGCACTTTATGAAACAGCTCGCGTCGAATTATGGCTAAGAGATAGTATTTAGACTTTAAACACAATGTGTCTGTTTCCTGTTAAATATCGCTCTCCAGAGATAGTAACCCTAGATACAAGAAAAGTTGTTGCGTTAATTTTTTATATTCGATCACCTGTGATCAAGTCTCATTCTACAAAATATAGATTTTGATGATTGAACAGTTGTCACAGTGCCCTATTTCCCAAGTCGATCAGTTTCCATTTCTTGAGCGTATATTGCTCTCTGAATAATTGGATATATAAAGAATCACTGTAAAAAACAGGCGTAGAATAATAAACCCCTGGAAAGAGTTTATGAATGTCATAAACTCTGTCACATACCCTATTTGGGGTTTATTAGTATCATAAATCTTTTCATAAACCCTGTTAGTTCATAAACTCTAGGAAGGGTATGTGACATGTTGCACTTTCATAAACCATTTAGGGCATATGAGCAGTAATATACCCTTTAAAAGTTTATTAACTTCATAAACCCTTCCGAAAAGCGTGTTTTATTGTGCCCTTTAGAAAAATCTGTGGAATGAAAAACGTTTTCCTGAAGGGTTTAGGAAGTTAAGAAACTTTTTAAGGGTATATTATTGCTCATATACCCTTCCCAGAGTTTATGAACTGAAAGGATTTATGAAAAGATTTATGATACTAATAAACCCCAAAAAGGGTATTTGACAGGGTTTATGACATTCATAAACGCTTTTCAAGGGTTTATCATTCTACGCCTCTTTTTTTACAGTGAACATACAACCACTTTAATGCGGGTGACCCTCTCTTTAAAAAAAGTGACCATGAAAACAAAGATTCTCAATGACTGAAGAAAAGCCAACAAGAAATATCATTGTTCAGAAAAATCTAAGAAAAACATTTAATTCGTAGAAGCAAAGCTGGGAATAAATCTTTTTGGTCAAAAACTATTTCAGATAGAATCTGATTGGTTATATCTGCTCCATTATGTGCAAAGACTCAAACTTTGAAAATAGTGTTTCAGGCGATACAGAGAGCAAATTCAATTCAAACTTCCCTTTCTTGAACACCTTTGGCAGATCCTTCTTCCCAAAAGTTAGTTTCTACTGGTCCTCGGCCCACAAATGGAGTCTGGAGGTCAATGGACTTCAGATTCCAAGTCCCTACCTAGAATTACAACTATGCAGCTCTATCTCGGCAAACTCGATTTCTATTGGTTCCTGGTCGACCAGTACGGTTTCGAGCAAAATGAAGCTCAGATTCGAACTTCCCGCACTGATTTACCTGTACACAGCAATTTTCCAAAAAAACTCAATTTCTATTGGTTCCTAGTCGACTAATAGGATTTCTAGAAAAATAAAGCTCAAATTCGAACTCCCCGCACGAAATTACCTAAAGGAAGCAACTTTTTTGAAGAACTTGATATCTCTTGGTTCCTGGTCAACCAATCAGACACCGGCCAAACACACGAATTTCCGTTTTCTATACTCATCGTTTCAGGATTGAGAACGAACAGCTATAGCCAAAGACATAAACACAAACACATCCACATCAACATCTATATATTACCATGAACAGCTACCGCTACATCCACAACCACATTCATAACCA